GTTAGGTAATTTTAGATTGCAAAGGGCCAGGCCATTCATATGCAAAAGCCTCTGTGCACAGCTTGGGTGGGGCAGGGTCTTAGGGAATCAATAGGGTGGAGCAAACAGCTATGGCTGCTCCTCAGCCCTGCCCTAAGAGGCCCCGGGTCTCAGTGTTCCATGGTAGCCGCTGCAAGCACCTCTAAGAGAAAGCCGCCCTCAAGTTCTGCCCACTGCCAGACAGTCCAGTTTCTCCCCCTATGAGTCTGGGTCCCCAGAGACTTGCCCGTAACTGGAGTTCAGAGCAGTCGGGAGCCTGTGTCTCCCCACTGATTGAAAAAGACAACCGCATCCTCAGTTGCCAGCCCTTTCCTCGTGCGCCTCCGTACCTCTGCACTTTACTTCCGCACCTCCTCTGAGTCTCAGTGTGCTTTTCTTTTTCCTTCTAGTTGTAGAATTTCCACTCAGCCAGCCTTCCTGTGGTTCTGGTTGATGTCCGTTTTGTCTTTTAGTTGTATTTTTGAAGTGGTTGTGTGAGGCAGCAATTTCAGGTGTTTACTGATGCCGCCATCTTGGTTTCTCTCTCCTTCTCTCCTAAACAGTTTTCTTAATGTCTTATTCTCTCTCATATGTCTATGACTTTAGCACCAGAAACTCTACATTTGTTTATGCCATGACTCCATTTGGCACTTCTGTTGAAGCCAGTGAAACTCCTCAGAATAATACTATTTTTTTTAAAGGTGTAAACCAGAATATACAGGATTAAAAGGAGAAGCAGCCACATTAAAATTATTATGAAAATACTATTAACAAGTTTGTGATACAGTAATCTGTTATTCCTTGGTAACATTAAATTATAAAATTGAACAAAATTTAATATGGTAACATTAAGTAAAAGTAAAAATAAATAATGAGTAGTAGAGCGACATTTTGAGATAAAATGTGATAGGAAACAAACTTTTTTAGGTATTGCTAAACTGTGGTTTGCTCTTACATTCATAATGGAAAGAAATGCATTTTCTTATTACCCAAGTTAATGGAGCCCCTGAATCCTGTCCACAGACTTCCTGGGAGTCCATGAATATTAACCAGTTAACTGCCACACGTCCAAAACGAAAACTATTCCCACATGCCACGATATTTTGAATTTAAAAAATCAATTTGCAATGAATATTACAAAAATAAATATATTACTCACAATTCGGGTGTTCTTGAATATTTTCCGTTGAAAATTCTCACGAAAAATGATTTTAAAGTTGATCTATAGACTTTTATGGCAGGCAAATGGTTAAAAATGCTTATTGAGTATGAGCTATTTTCTCCTGTCTAAAATTGTTTTTATTCCCCTCTGTTTTCTATCATATCTGAGCGTGATCATCCTTGAAGATTCAGCTCACTTATCTTAGCACTTTATGGTGATAACTTACTTTCCTGTTATGTGTTAGTCACTATTCTAGACATTTGAAATGCATCAGCAAACAGAACAGGAAAAAAATTCATGCCTTCAAAGACTTACAGCCTTATGGGAGGATGTCAGTAGACAAAATAAATACATAAATTATGTAGAATGTGAGACAATTATAAACACTATATAAAAGTTAGGGTAGATAAAGTAGATTGAGGTGTGGATTGCAATTTTCAGAAGAATAAGTAAGGTACATTCTTTGAGAAAGTGAAATTTGAACGAAGACATGAAAATGGTGAGACTTAACTATGCAGATATCTTTTCTGTCTCTTTCACCACATTTCAGATTGAGCATTGTGACTAGCACATACATGAACTGTCATTAAGAGAAAGGTTGTTACCTTTCTGGTATCTGCCCAAAGTTTGAGAAGTTTAGCCAGTTTGGATGATTAAGCATGTGTCATTTCCCTAGGTTGGGTTCGATGATTAGGTTATATTCCGATATAGCTTGTTCTTACATTTTATTTTTGATAATAAGTTTCTCTAAAAATATTTTAGCTGTTGTTACTTTATTTTTATTTGCCTTTTCTTGTGCAGAGTAGAAATTTAGCAGATGTTAAATGAAAGAATAAATCTTTAGAATTACCCAAATTATTTATCTTTTTGTAGACACAACTCTCTTCAATAATTAAATAAAAGTTGTTATATTTAAAAATTTCAGATTTGCCAAATATTTGTATGCTTGCTCTTTGATAGAAATTGTAGGAGGTGAGAAAGAATAAGATTAATACAAAACAATATGTGTCAAACTTTGGAGGGAATATTTCATATGTATTATATTTAATCCTCAGTGTACCATCAGGGTCCAATTTAGTTTTTGAGTATCAATTTTGAGCAGTTCTCATTTGTAAAGGTGATTATTTTATGACTTACATTCTTTCTTAGATTTTTTCCAAAGAGCAAATAGAAAATTTAATATTAAAAAAACTAGAATAAAACTTATTGTATCTTGCAATTACCATATGTGATTCATTTATAAATCTAACATGCAATATGGTATTTTAGTGATCTTATTTTTCCTAAATCTTGAAATGATTTCATTATCTTAAGAATTATTTCATGAATACCCATCAGTTTTTCCCTATCATGCCCAAATACTAAAATAACAAGAATACAAAAGAATGATTGAATGATGTAGTAATGAAATCACCACTATTGTTCTTCAGTTTTCTTTTTTTTTTTTAAATATATTTTATTGACTTTTTTACAGAGAGGAAAGGAGAGAGAGAGTTAGAAACATCGATGAGAGAGAAACATCGATCAGCTGCCTCTTGCACACCCGCTACTGGGGATATGCCCGCAACCAAGGTACATGCCTTTGACCGGAATCGAACCTGGGACCCTTCAGTCCGCAGGCCGACGCTCTATCCACCAAGCCAAACCGGTTAGGGCTGTTCTTCAGTTTTTTTATTGTGTTGTCCAAAGTATGACATCTTAAGTTTTTTTTGTTTGTTTGTTTTTTCCCTGCTCATAATGATAAATGAAAAATTGAGCCCTCGCCGATGTGGCTTAGTAGTGTCTCGGGTTTGATTCCTGGTCAAGGGTATGTACGTGGGTTGCAGGTTCGATCCTTGGCCCCAGTCAAGGAAGCAACTAGTCATGCCTCTCTCACATCAATGTTGCACTCTCTTTAAAAAAAAAAATAATAATAATAATAATCAGTGGGAAAAATAATCCTTGGGTGAGGATTTAAAAAGAAAATTGACAGGATAATGGTTTACTGTTTTCAGTAGAATCAGAAGGTGAACATAGAGACAGCAACACTCTAGACTCTAATTATGATGGTTAAATTGAGTTGATTATATCCTAGATTAATTTTTCCAAACCAAAGAAATACTGAGTTGATATATTTCTAAGGACAAAAAAAAAAAAAAAAAAAGAGTGCTATTCTCATCCAGCAGTCATTCAGCAAGGTTTTCATAATGCAGTATTATAGAATTATGAAGTCCCATGAAAGTATCTTTATACATAAAATTCTATTAAACTTGAATGTCATATGCTGTTGTAATTATCATGTGTTCAATTAAGAATTAGCATATATTTTTAAATGTGTTCAGTTGATCATCTCTTTTTATTTGGCTATGGCAGAAGTTCTGGAACTTGGCTTCTTAAGTTATAAATGAACTTTTTTTCCCATATGAACTTTACTTTTCTCAGTTCCAAATTAGTGTTTCTCTTAATGCTACTTTAAAAATCCTATATAATAAAGAGGTAATATGGAAATTGTCACGCCCTCACACAAGATGGCCACCCCCATGTGGTCAAAAGATGGCCGGCAGGGGAGGGCAGTTGTGGGTGATCAGGCCAGCAGGGGAGGGCAGTTGGGGGGCGACCAGGCCTGCAGGGGAGGACAGTTAGAGGTGACCAGGCCTGCAGGGGAGGGCAGTTGGGGGGGACCAGGCCTGCAGGGGAGGAAGGGCAGTTAGGGGCGACCAAGCCGGCAGGGGAGGGCAGTTGGGGGTGATCGGGCCGGCAGGGGAGCAGTTAGGCGTCGATCAGGCTGGCATGGGAGTGCTTAGGGGGTGATCAGGCTGGCAGGCAGAAGTGGTTAGGGGCAGGCAGGCAAACGGTTGAGAGCCAGCAGTCCCGGATTGTGAGAGAGATGTTCAACTGCTGGTTTAGGCCCGATCCCACACACAGGGATCGGGCCTAAACTGGCAATCGGACATCCCCTGAGGGGTCCCAGATTGGAGAGGG